CTCTCCTTTATGACTTGAAGTGTCTGCCTGTCTGGCAGCGGACAAAGTAACATATGACTATATATGGCTTAATAAATTAGTTCCGGTTCCGGCCGGAACTTTTTACCAGTTCCGGTCGGATCCGGTTCCGGCCGGAACTTAAAAAACTGGTTCCGGTGCACCCCTACAATGCCCAGAACAGCAACCTCGTGCCCAGGCCATTCCCTCTTGGGAGGAAAGGCTCTGGCAGGCGTTGGTCATGTGATCTGCTGAAACTAGCAGATGTGCTTTCGAGTGATTCATGTTTATTAGAATAAACAAGACTTGTACACATGGCAAAACTCCCTTCTCAAATTCGATGTGCATGTGTTATGACAAAGGGCTGCAGTCTTTGTCCATATAGTCTTTGATCACATGAGTTCGTGTTTCTCACGTTCGACGTATCAGATCCCTGAGAAAAGTCACCGGTATACAAAAAAACTAAAAAGTACCGCTATCGAACATATAATCTTGTGCCAGTGCAGGCAGTGCCAATATTTTAATAAGGAAACTTTGGTTGGTATGAATGCAACAATACCTGAATTTCTCACTGTATTTTTCAGGTACAAAGTATCGAACAGCCTATACAATGATAACTATAAAGTCGAAATATTATTCTAAACCCTTCTCAGACTGATAAAAGCATGATTCACGTGTTGGGAAAACGTGATAAACAAGCTTTTAGTGTAAAGACCACTTCAGGGAATTTTCAACTCCACATTGGCTTATCTGGCACGAGATAAAACATTAGTCACTTTCTATACGGAGAATGGAAAATATATCTCTAGAAAGCGTCATTATTCAAGTGCCCGGCTGCTGGCAGCTGGGTATGTTAATATTTGCCATCCCAAAGCAGCCAATGAAAGTCAAATAATTTTGAGTAAATTGCAATTAAACAATATACATTTCGGATGTCCAAGGGGTTAGCGTTCACATCAGAACTTGTAATTACATAGTATGATGGAAAGGATTAGTGTGAAAAATTTCGTAAGGATATCATACACACAAATAGATTGTTCTGTCGAGTGCATTGAAGAAAGAAATCTCCAATCAGCTTGAAAGGAAGGGGAAATTTCGTCCACAGCCAACATCTTTATTATCATCTATTACCAACCATTACCATAAGTTTAAAAACTGCTTCATATTCTTACTTTATTATATCCTCCGTGCTGGCGGTTAGAAAATAAAGAATTTTCAAAGGTAAGCACTTTGCGTTATCTGACCTATCTTCACTTCATGGTATTCGGCCCTATATTCAACAATCGTGAGCTTAAAGACACTTGCATACACAATATATTATACAATATTATAGTTTTGCGCCACAACAGCCTGTTGTATCCAATCAGGGAATTAACTTCAACTAAATCTAAAGATTCCTTCATTCGACGCAGTGGCGGCAAATTTTAGGTAAGCAAAATTATACTATTGCCCTAACTTCATGAAATATCGAGTGCTCTCTAGCATTTCGTAAACGAAATTGTAATTTATGTTTATTAAAAAACAATGGCGCGGCACTGCGTATAGTGTATATTTGAATATAATGTTAATTACTCAACCGGCCAAATGAAGACAAATTAGAAATCTAAGTGTAAGTTCTGTTCAAAAGCAATGTTTCCTGGTTTGCTCATCTTTGGCTGGGAAACAATTTTAAGATGGAAATAATTGGGATTTAGTGTAGGTTAAAAGATAACCGCGGCCGTCTTTATAATGCAGCCTACTTCGCTTGCGCCGAGACGCAACAGGGCGCACGCACTATATCATTGTTGTGACATAAACAATGTCTCCCGGCCATGTTTTCCGAAAACTGACAAACAAGAAAACACTGTTTCCTAGCCATGTTCCCCAAAGCAGAGCAAACCTTGGAACATCCTTTCCTAGCCTGCAATTGCATGTTCGCCAAACCCATGGGCAAAACTGGAAACAATATCAAGATTTTGTTGGCGTCTCACACGCTTGAGTAACAGTCGACGGGTTTTGTAGATGGAAATGATCGATTATTTGTGGTTAGTGCTCAGTTGGTTAGAGCGCTGCACCGGAATCGCAGGGCCGCATGTTCGATTCCTGCATGCCATGGACGACGTACAGTTTTCGCAGCTGTTCCTGGTCAGGAGTCTATAAGGCTCGTTTTAGACGTCGAACTTTTCAGGTGCCGAATGCATTAAAGACAATAGATAATGAGGTAGATCAGATGATTATCTATTGTCTTTAATGCATTCGGCACATAAAAAGTTCGACGTCTATAAAACGGACCTAATAAATCGATAATTTCCATCTACAAAACCCATGGCTAGGAAACAATGTTTCCTGGTTTGTCCACCTTGGGGAAACATGTGGCTAGGAAACAATGTTTCCTGGTTTGTCCACCTTGGGGAAATATGGTTAGGAAACAATGTTTGTTTCCTGGTTTGTCCACCTTAGGGAAATATGGCTAGGGAACAATGTTTCCTGGTTTGTCCATCTTCGGGAAACATGGCTAGGAAACAATGTTTCCTGCTTTGTCCATCTTCGGAAAACATGGCTAGGAAACAATGTTTCCTGGTTTGCTCATCTTCGGGAAAACATGGCTAGGAAACAATAGCAAGCTTAAGCAAGCGACGTTTATGACAACACGAACGGCATGAGTAACTTTAAAAGACTGGGTCAAGAATGTTGATTGGTTGATAACGTCAAATTTGCTTCCGGTTAACGTTCGTGTTGTCAAAAATGTCGCTTGCTTCAGCCCGCTAATGTTTCGTGGGAAACATGGCTGGGAAACAATAGGGCCATTTATACGGGACAAAATAAGACGCGACTTACATAAGACGCGACTTAAATAAGACGCGAGTTTGTCGTATAAAAGGTAAAAAATTCTTATGTAAGACGCGTCTTACATAAGAACAGGACTTTTAGCTGTTCTTATTTAAGTCGCGTCTTAAATACATGCCCGAAACTTGAAACAACGTAAAATTATTAGCCTTGCATATTCGAACAAAAACAACCGAAACAACATTATAGCTATAGCAAGTAAATAAGAATAAATCCGTAGAGAACCATTTATGCGATAACTCAGCTTATATAAGACGCGTCTTATGTAAGACGCGACTTATTTTGTCCCGTATAAATGGCCCTAATGTTTCGTGGGAAACATGGCTAGGAAACAATGTTTCGTGGGAAACATGCCTAGAAAACAATGTTTCGTGTAGAACATGGCTAGGAAACAATGTTTCGTGTAGAACATGGCTAGGAAACAATGTTTTCTTTTCGAACCGTCCTGACCGCGTAGCTCAGTTGGAAGAGCATTGGGCTAGTATTCCAAAGGTCGTAGGTTCGAATCCCACCGTGGCCGGGCATATTTTTCAAGCTCGCCCGGTGTGGATATGCACTCAGAGTAACATCACAAACATATTATTCACCTGAGTACACAACACCAGCACAGAAAAAAAAAATGTTTTCTTGTTTGTCAATTTTCGGAAAACATGGCTGGGAAACATTGTTTATGTCAAAACAATGATAGAGCACTTGGACCACCTGATGCGACTGGGCGCATGCGAAGAAGGCTGCATGTGCATTATAAAGGCGGCTGGTTATCTAGTAACACACTAAATCCCAATTATTTTCATCTTTAAACAACACACTTTAATTGTGTGAAATAATTTGCATTCAATAAAGTTGTAAAGTATGGGCTGGCGTTCATTTCACTTTTCATTATCGTTCTAGATGCGTATCTGACATGTCGAAGGCATTCTTCACCAGCTGCCGTGCATGCAAACTATACTGTTTGTGAAAAATGTCCATCTTTGAAGGAGACGATTTGGCACTGCGCGCAGTACTTTTTACATTGTTGCTACTGGTTTTCATCGTTGGATTAACTGGTAATATAACAGTATGCCATACATTTCGCAAACATTCGTTACTGCGAACTGTTACTAACTTAATCATCATAAATACAGCAATAACTGCAATAGTTCATTGTTTGTTGAACATCCCAGCATCGCTGATCTATCTTGCCAGCTTCGATGATAAATTATCCGCTCTGAAAGTTCCGAACGTATTATGTGATGCGAATGGATTTATGAACTCAGTTTGTCTTTTTGAGTCAATGTTCTCGTTAATAGTATTGAGTGGTAGTCGTTATTGGTGCATTTTACGTCCAACAACATTTCAATCAGTATTTAGTAAAAGACGCACGTTATTTCTGCTGTGTCTAACATGGCTATGTGCGATTGCTCTTTCTTCGGCACCTTTGTTAGGCTGGTCACAATTTTGCCATAGTAAAGGGAAAATGATGTGTATTTCCATGTGGAAAAACACAATTTCCTACACCATCTTTATCACTTTAACTGTATTTATACTGCCGAGTTTTGCTATCATAGGGATATACTATAAGATTTACAAACACATAAAATCACACGAAAGAATGTTAAAGCTGTACAGAATTGCGAGTGTTTGTCACTTGTATACCCAGCAACGTAAAAACTACACGAAATCCCTGTTTAAAGATTATCAAGTCACGAAGCTTATTTGGACATTATTCGTAATATTTGTCGCTTCTTGGTTCCCGTATTTTGGAGCGAATTTAATCTTCGAGTTTGTGGAAGGCGATATTCCACGAAGCGTGGACGCCATATTGACTTTGACGACAATTCTTAATACGACATGTTGCCCTATCATATACGGCTTGGTAAATAGACAGTTTCGCAAGGGATTCTGGGAGAGCATTTGTTGCAATAAGCCACGAAAGGTTCAAGGCACGCGCAGACGGTGGACTAGAAACTACGAATCTACAGAAATGAGATCAAGCTTAAGGACATATCAACAAACAAGTCGTGCTCATTTTCATGAATTGAATGTCAATGATATTCCAACCGTTTGTGTTTCTACTGTGTAACGCTGCATGGACTGTGAATGCGCAGGCCCAGTTATGCACCTATCAATGTTAACCCCCAGAGGGCGGGGGTCGGGCATATGTGTGGTATTTGATCATCAATTGCATCCCCACCCTGGGGATTTTGATTAGCATTTTGGCCCCGAGTTGGGGCAATTTGAACCAAATGACTTTTATTAATATAGTATTTATTGCAATTTATTGCAAAATGGTGGGGTATTTGACCAATATTTATTGCCCGACGGTGGGGCATTTGATTGAAAATTTGCTCAAAAAATCAAATGCCTCACCTATGCCCCCCCCCCCATGTGGACCTTAACATTGATAGGTGCATTACTGAGAACAAAATTATTGAAACTTTAAAGTTTTGATATAGAAAGACCTTTGCCCACCTCTCAAGTGTTCTGCTTGGCGGGCACACCGTTAGCCATAGTTTTAGATACATGTATCAGTTAGGGACTGCATGGTCAACATTTATGGCGGGGGGTGGCACCGAACAAACTAATATGTTTCTCTTGGTAAAAATCTTGCCGATCCAACCATACATTTAAAAAGTAAAAAAAAATTTTACCCAACCTCAAGTAAATTAAAAAACGTTACAAAAGGATACCGTTCAGTTGTTATACATATGTCCTTTATACCATGCACTTCTGTGACATGAGTTTGATAACTGCTTGTGCAATTTTCTGCAGTCTAAAGTTTCATGTTGTCTGCACATGTAGTTTCTTTGGAGACACCATTTGCCTCTTGACAAACCAGAAATTGATCAAGATAGTGACTCTGATTGATTTACATATTGTATAGACATATGACTGTTGACATTGCTTTTTAGTCTTCAATATTTGAGTGAGTCATGCTTTGGAAATGACAATATATTTTTATCACCCAACCTTGGAGTTGTTTTGTTTTGCATTTAGTAGCCATTTATCCACCTTTTACTCACTCAAAATTTTGTTTACCCAACCCTTTTCTCCTCGGTGCCAGCCCCCCATAAATAATGACCGGTCCCTTAGAGCAAAATAAAGAAAGCTATAGGAGTTTGTCTTGCTGTAGAGAAACGAACATGAAACTTACTAAAATTGCTTTAATCTACGTACAGTTATATCTCGATAACCATATTGTACGCATAAATTTTCAAATGAAATAAAATATCAATTACATGCAGTTTTTTTAATTTTGCATATCTAAACTTATGTCTAAACCATAGGCGACGGAAGATTTGTTTTTGTTACGGGGATAAACAAACTCTAGGGGGGGAGGCATGCTTCCCCGGAGTATTTTGAAATATACAGGGTGTATCAAAAAAAGCGCAATCCTCGACTGAAATGTAAATTGCTAAACAAATAATAGACGAAAACGTTAAAGTTTACATTCATTTTAAAGCGTAGCCATTCAGCTTTCTAACAGTGGGTTGTTTCTTAAATTTGACTCATTGGTTCGCGGGTAATAATACTTTACGTTATTGCGATTGGAGATTAAAAAAAATTGAGATGGAATAACAAATCGTTCTCATGAAAATAACTGATTTTTTCATTAAAACAAAAAAATGTTGCATTTTAATAAATGGATTGTAACAATAAGTATAATTACGGCTTTTCTTCCACTATTTTTAACACAGTTTGAAACTTCAAATGCGATATAATTTTGGCTTGGACCATCTAAGCTGACTGACATCAGCTTGCTATAATTTCTGTTTACATTACATCGTAATTCGATGACACTCTGGCTCAGACACCAGAATGTTTTGATTCTATGATTTTTAGCATTCGTTTAGGATTTTCAAACAACCTGGTCTCTTTTAAAATACTTTTAATTTGTTCTTACGTGATTTTCCAGATGTAGTGACGACAACATTAAAGTTTAAAGAAGAAAATTCTAACATTTAAACCGACTAAACAATAACATAGTAAACTTGCATAATTAAACAGCAACTAAAAATGATAGATTTTACTAAATCGTTTCCTGTGCAATTATTACTAGTATTGGAGACAAGGATAATAGTTTGTTTGAAAGAGAAAAGAACAGGCTTTAAAGTAAGCCCAAAAGCGTTTAACTAGAAATAGTATTTCGAAAGTTATTAAGCACAAAAGATGAATTGCGTTTATTTTGATACACCCTGTAGACTCTCGGAAATGGCATTTGACACGTAGAAACCTGGATTTAACCTCCTACAACTTCTGTTTGAAGTCACATAATGGGAGTCATGAATATTTAGTAATATCTAATAATATAGATGAAAATATTACTCAATTCTGATTGGCTATTATTTTTCAATTTGCACATTGTGCAATTACTGCAGTGCAATTAACAAAAGAAGAGCAGAGCCTGGAAACGAGGCAGGAAAAATCAACATGGCGGCAGATATAGCAAATTGCAATTTAACTGCAAATATTTCAATCGTACTCGAAATCTATCGCAACTCGAGGCTGCGACTTTTCAAAATGACGTGAACAAAATGCGACTGTGCTACCCTTCAACGACGGGCTTTGGCACCTTCAATGAAGGCATTTATCAAAGCCAAGCAACATGAACTTATAAATACTTAAAATTTAGTTCTTCACTTTCACCCTGTTTTTAACAGCAATGCCACTCAGGTAAATGCAGTTAACTAGCAATAACATATGTGAATGAGGAAGTTATCTATTTCCGACATAGTATCAAGAAACAATAGCACAATAACAATATGAATTACTATATTTGTCCACTGCCCCGTCCAAATTCTAATCATAAGACAGGCATGAATATTAGCGTAAAATCGCGCAAGTTGTCACAGATCTACAAACAGGTTATAACAACACCGCGGAAAAACGTCTGCGCACGCGTCAAAGTATTGCGAACTTGATGAGAAGCTGTTCCGAACGTTTCCGAAGGCTCAAAATGGCGGTAAAAAGGAGTGACTTCATTGTGCGTCTTTACAGCCAGATTTCGAGCGCAAAAATAAACATGACATTCTAAAGACTAGGAATAAATACAGCCAGAAGGTTCAAGAAATTGTATTGTACAAGAATATGAACTAAAGGTGATTGTTGACAAATTTATCGTCTGAAACATTTTGTTTATCAACTAAGCAACGACAATTTCCGAATTTTCGTTTGAGATACATTTCTTTAAAAAAAACTGTGTCGCCAAATATAAAAAATTTTCGTGTTCACAATAATTAAACTTTAGGATTTATTCTACAATTTGAGTGGGTTAAGAAGCTTAACTTTTCGAGAGTTTTCTTAACTTTTGAGTTTGAATTTTTGTTTTCAATAATTTTGCAAAAATTTTCGAAGTCGTGTCCGTTAAAATCAACAATTTTTTACATGAATTCTATTTCATTCCATACTTTAAATGCCAGGACGCTTTCAATTAATGTCTAGTCTACCCATTTGCTCTATTTTCTCGTTTGTTTTACTAATTTTTGACCAATTAATAAGCATGTTTTTGTTTTAGAAATTGATATTCAAATTCCCCGCCATATTTTCATAATTTGGTGCATGCGCAGACGTTTTTCCGCGGTGTTGGTTATAACAAGGTTGCTACCAGGATGTGTTCGCACTGCTTGTTCCCAGACAAGTCTGGAACAAGTTGTTTTCACCTTGTTACAAGGTTGATGACGAAAATAGACTTGCTACAAGCTGTTCCAAAAGAGACTAATACAAGCTGTTCGTAACAATTAGCTACGAGCTTGCTGTCATCAACTTGTTAATAGAGAGGTTCAGATTTGACTTCCACTACCACTACCTCTCACTGACTTAGTAAACATCTGATTGGTTGATCGGATATATCAAACGCATCTGATTGGCTAATGGTCCCTTAATGGTAGCGGTCGTCAAATCTGAAGCACACTAATAACTTTTTACGTGCAGACAATTATATCAGGCTTGTTGGAACAACTTGTTGCGAGTCTGTTGGCCTCTTCAACCTTGTTACAAGACGATAACAACTTGTTCCAGACTCGTCAATAAGTGGGAACAAGCAGTGTGAATAGATCTTGACAAGCTGCGAAATTTTCACGCGTGTATTTTCACACAAAACTGGACGAATTCGGAACCCTACACTGCAAAAAATTACTCAAATGTATGAGCAGATTTACTCATTTTTTGAGTAAATTACATCTTTACTAAAAAAATTCCAGTAAATTTTCTCAAAAATTGGCGGAATTTTACTCAAGATTTTCATGATTACAAAGCCCAGTCGAATTGTAATCAAGACCCAACGTTTCGACACTCCAGTCTAGTGTCTTCATCAGGGGTGATCTAAAATTGCAATCGTGGCTTCTGAAATACCCAAGGGATAATGTCATTCATTGGCAGGTGACGTCATCCCATGGGTATTTAAGAAGCCACGATTGCAATTTTAGATCACCCTGATGAAGACACTAGACTGGAGTGTCGAAACGTTGGGTCTTGATTACAATTCGACTGGGCTTTGTAATCATTTATTTAAACCAGAGTAGCGAGTGAAACATGATTGAACAATACTGTTGAGCCTGAATCGGGTGTAACAATATTGTTCAATATTGTTGACAACTATGAACAATGTGGGCAGCAAAACATTGATCAATCCTGTTTTCATCAACATTGCAACAACCTGATCGTTTTTTGCCGTGTAGTCGGCATTTATATAGGCTGTTGGGCTGTTTTTGATTTTTAAATTATCCGCTACACCACTCGATAGAGCACATTTTAAAGATATCTATTCACTTGACTTTTTGAAGTAATAATTTTATATTTAAATTCACGTTTGGTTTTAATTCATGTAATTCAATTCGATAATTCGGTCCATATCCAAACAGCTCAATTTTTGCCACATGAATGCAACAATTTGCCGAGTCGTTCATGAGTGGGAGGGAAGGGGGGGGGGTGGTCCATCGCCCGCTCTAGCGCCGCCCCTGAATATATTTTACTGAAGTTTTCGAGTCAAAGTACTCAGTGATCTTTTGCAGTGTACACAAATTTGTTTAAATTTCACACATGAATGGTTACCTGTGCTCGAATCCGTCCAGTTTCATGTATCTCATGTGAGCGGAAGGCAATTAATCCTGACAATTTGGGCACGATGTAGCCAACTATACAGTACTACATACCAAGTCATATTGTCCTTCCTAATACAACAATCTCTCCAGGAATGTCTTTCAAAGAGGGAACATCAGCAAAACCAAGTCTTGAATAAAAGTCTAAAGCATCTCTGTTGGTACTCGCAATTTCTACGTAAACACCACGACATCCTTCAGACTTAAGCACAGAAAGAATACACGCAAGAAGACGTTTACCGATACCAAGACTCTAGGCAATGGAAAAATATTATTTTGAATATTAAAAATATTATGTATCACGATATGATGGTCTGGTAACCTGGCAAAGTCCCAGGGTGTTAGCTACAGTCAAAAATTCCGCGTAAAACGCCGTTTTCCCAATTACCTTGAGGTCGCAATTTCCCAATTTGGGTCAGCCAAAAAATAGTTATAGAAATTCAATGTTGTTAATACGCCATTAAAAACATGTTTATAACTATACATTTGCTCAAAATTACTCCCAAAATGTGGGAAATGCCATTTCAAAGACATAAAAATTTTAAAAATTGAGAGCGCAACCGCATGCCCCCAAACCCACAAAGAAATGTCCGGCTTCAGGCTAAAATAAATTTCCCAATTTCAGGTAAACGCGGATTTTTTTTACTTCTGGCTAACACCCTGAGTCCAAAGTCACAAAATAGAAGCCTTTGTTTGATGTTGAACTGTATCTCACTGTGCACAAATCCTTTGTCTCAACTTCACTAAATATTATTCATTGTGGTTGCACATTTCACCTTTGGTATCTCTATTGGACGGTGGGAATATTTTTCAAGCTTGCCCGGTGTGGAAATACAGGCATATTTTTCAAGCTTGCCCGGTGTGGATATACACTCAGAGTAACATCACAAACATCATATTCACTTGAGTACATAGCACCAACACAAAAAAAAAATTAATTAAGTCTATTTTCTCATGTAACCGCTTTTGTAGTTGCATTATAAATTCTAAAAGCACGCGTATTTTCCCGAACTACTCCACTAATACCACGTCCCTCCCGTGGAGCAGCCTGTTTGAAGTGCTTTTAATATTAATACTTTCAATACTTACATGCGCACGAGCCAGCAGATCAATTCTGACATGTGCAGGATATTTATTATAAAGTTGATCAGGAAGAAATATGGAAGGATTGTGAAAGCTGTCAGCGATCTGTTCTGAATAAAGAAATTCACTTGGATCTCCGCTGGGTTTACTGTACTCCTTACACATCTAAATGAAAGAAAGTTAAAGTAGTTTAGACCTTGTTTCATATGCCCTTTAATTAATATGTTAAAAATATTTCCCAGACTTGTGCTGTTTTGTACTTTTTTTTCAAGATAAGTTGATCTATTTGCAGGCAATCAGAAAGCTTCTATTTCAATGTGTGCCAACGAAGCACTAGTTGTGTTGTAAGTGGGAGGGTTGGTTTTGGTAAAGGAGGAAAACCAAACGACCATGAAGGAAAAAAAAAACCCTGGAAGCACAGGAGGGAATCAACAACAACTCTACATGAGCAAGTGTGTTTAAGCTAGTCATCCCCAGACCTGGAAAAAGTATTTAATGTTCCTCGGATGCTGAATTCGCCTTTTTCAAATGTTCCTCAAAAGCGCGTAAAAACGATGGAAAATTTGACCGTACTTTATGCCATTGTGTAGTCGTGGGGGTGTGCTAATCATCCTTACTTGCAGCTGAGAGCTAAGCTGAATTGCGCAGCTCATGCAACCTGTTCCAGTCGAAGGCTTACTATAAGGGCGCCTATGGCAGCCATCTTATGACTCATGTCTGACCACGGAGTACAGCTACAGTGGAAGGGTCAGTTAGGGGGCTAATCCCAACCCACCCTGTCAACATTCCCTGTGGAAGGAAACCGGAGTACCCAGAGAAAACCCACGACTTTCGGTAGAGCGTTGACTGACTCTTTTCACATAAGTGCATTCTCGTACCCAGAGCCCTTCTTACGCGCGTTCGACCGAGCGCGACGAGGGGCTCTGGCCAAATCCATATCAAACTGGCTTCTGATTGGCCACAACGAAATATACGGTTTATTGTATAAAATATGAATAAAAATCAAGCGCTCCATGAAGCGTTGGTTTCGTTTTGGAGAAAATTGGGAGAAAAGACATTATTAAAGTTGAAAGAACAGCAGTACGAAGCAGTTTGGAAGAGAGTTGTTGATAATCGCCCACAAAAGCGGTAGATGTCGCTAATTTTATTTATTTAAATCAATTAGTTGATTGAAATTCATAGGTTGAGACGTGATGTTCTCATAGCAAAAAGTCAGCATATTTATGGCAGATGCTCGTCGTATTTCCAAATCAGTGATGTTAATCAAACAAATCTGAAGAGAAAATATTAAAGCCAGCCAGAATATGAAGTTAATTGTGATGACTATTTTCTTCCTAGAAACCGATTTTTTACAATTTTTAAAGGATTTGCAGTATACTATGTCTTATGTATGACTGTTGACTTTTAATAAAACACAAAAAAGTCTAAAAATCTGTACAACAGCGACTTAAAATCGAATATAAAATAGTGAGACAATCTCTGGTCTTCGTATCCGTATCCATTACTGCTTTGACAACGTTTAAGAGGGAAATATATACTAAATTTTATCAACATATATATACATTGAGAACATCACGTCTTACCTACTAATTGATTTAAATAAATAAAATTAGCGAAACCTACCGCTTTTGTGGGGTTTTCCTAAAGTAAAACTTTCAAAACGAAACAAACAAGAAAACCGAAGTGTTTATCCGCGTTTGACGTTGAGCATGCGCAGTGTTAAAACGGATACCATGTTTTTATGGTATCCGGTTATGGATTTGGCCAGAGCCCCTCGTCGCGCTCGGTTGACCGCGCGTAAGAAGGGCTCTGGGTACGAGAATGACATAAGTGTTATTAGTCCGTAGTGAGAATCGAACCCAGAGGTGGAAGGCGCTTGCGCTGACGACTGCTCCACCGAAGCCCTATGTATGCAACAAAGTATATTTGACTGTCTTGGCTCAATCTTCTTACTATAGCAAATGTTCCCACGGATCCAGCGAGATCCCACTTTTTTCCATGTCTGGTCACCCATCTAAGTAAATACCCTAATACCCTACCCTCGCCGGTCTTAGAGTATAATCCCAGGGGTAAGGGGAAACGCGCTAACCGTAAATGTTTAGTTTAGCTGCCTAAAAATGTCATAGTTGTGATTACATGTCCTTACTTTAGGCAGCCATTCCTCTTTATACTGATCATAAAAATGTCTTCCATCTGCTGCAGCTACACCATAACCACATAATCCAAATTTATCTTCAATTACAAACACTGTCTCAGGACAAATACTCATGTATGGACCTATAAACCTACGAAATAATACACATATCTGAAGTTTATGAATTCATGGCAACCGTTTTTAATGTTACACATGTTTTCGTTCGTTTAAACTTGCCGCACACGAGAGCAGGGTGGTGCGCAGTCCACTTAGCGGTGTCTAGCACCCCTAGTGAAGCCGAGAACCACCCTAAAAAAATCTGCTTGATCGTACATTCTCTGCTTTTCGAACTATCGATTGGCGGAACTTCTACTGTTAGCGCGTGTCTATTTCTTGAAACGATTTAATTGATTTGTGAGCTCACGAGAAAAAGTAAGAATGCTTTAGGTATAAATATCATGGTTAAATATATAAACATGTCGATGATGTATATTATATCTTATTGGATTCTTCTGAGCCCAATATGGCAAAATATTAAGTCGAGACTTCAATATTGGGCGAGACCGAAGGTCGAGCCTAATATTGAAGTCGAGACTTAATATTTTGCCATATTGGGCGAAGATGAATCCAATAGGAGTTTTATTATATCGAACAAAACAATTCTATAACTAAAATTGTCAATAAGCGATAAAGTAAATACAGCGAGACTAATACAGCGACAACATTAATACTACATATATCGGCGGCGAATTTGCTTAAATAACTAAAAAAAAAGTTAATAAACCTGTTTTTACAAATATGTGTGCATAAATAAACTCATTTCCATGTATGTTTAAAGGAAATTTGACCTAATTTTAACGAAAAAAATAATATTACTAACTTCTAGGCTGTTGCAAACAAATAAATTTCGCGAAGACAAGTTTTCCCGCGCTTTTATAATTTTAAACAAAACTGGTAGAAAAAACTGTATTAATGTCCCAAATTCTTTTCATTATTCTGCCATATCGTTTGTCGTATGTTTGACATTGACAAAACATCTGAAAAGGGTTGAAAAACCATGAAAAAAGCCACAATTCACAACTGTCCAATAGGTTCCTGTCCAATATCGTAAAATATTGGATCGGCACGTGACCCTCTCAACGATTACTGATAGGTTAAGTGCGCGTGAGTGTATAATAAAGTCTATTAAATGGTTCTCGAAGTGTATATTGGCAGCGTTCGCTTGAAGTTTTTGCTTTAAGGCCAATTTACACTCGTTGCCCCTGACTTATTTCAGTACATCAAAATCCTCCCGCCTTAAATCTTGTCCCGGCAAAACGGTATCATGTAAACAGCCCCAAAATTTTACCATGCAGCATGTTGACTGTTTTATTGTAAATATTTAAAATACCTATACTTATAAAGGACTGTTGCAAGGAATATTATACTGTTACCATGCTGCAACAATGTAACTGAAATTTACCCTTTGCATGTGCAGTTCATTTCTTCCATGATCAATCAATTTTTGCGAATGACTTTGTTTTGTATCCTTTTGTCATGTGTATACGCAAATAATTATATGCACGGTAAGAAACAATGTATTTTCGGCATCTCGTCAAACCAGGCACTCGACCATACTGCATGTACAAATATTAATAACTGGGAAAATTTCAAAAGATTTGTGGACAATGATGTCGGTGAACTAAGATCTCAGCATGAGATCCGAGCTCATTATACTTTGAAGTTTGCCAGGTTTCCAAACAACTGTATTTCTTCCTTAATTCATTCGTTCATTTGCACAGGGGCGCCGGAGCCACGGGGGCAGCGGGGGCAACCGCCCCCGTTGCCCACACAGTGCGGTGGCAGCACGGGGGCAACAGGTTGCCCTTTGCAATTGTACTGGAACAGCACACGAAATTCATGCATTATTCACAGGAATTGGAATTTATAACTATTTTTAAGCAATGTTTAAGCAATCTTTGCTTAAATTTTAACCAGTTGTAGTAAAATTAATGCTAAATTAGGCAATATACGTACGTTTACTGATTTTATTTTACGCCCTTAGCACGGTGCAACGAATAAAATTGTTCAAAATTAATGTCGAAGTTTTTCGACTCATAATAGCCACAAGTAATCGAGTATCCATACAGTAACGTTTTAACAAATATTGCCACCCAGAAAAATTATGGCTGAGAAGCAAGTGCCCTTTTAAAATGACTGCCCCCGCCGCTTCACATTGCGACTGGCGCGTCCCTGCATTTACAGTGAAAATATATCATTGAAACCAGGGGCGGCGTTAGGCCTTCTTAAATGGCGTGTGGGGGGGGGGGAGTGAGGTATAGTTTTGCCAAGTCATCAGTCATGTCAGTCATTAGCTTGGTTTGTATTACTAAACTTTGGTTAACATATACGCGGATTGCGCAAAAGTCTGAAAAAAGTTACAGATCTTGTCGACTATATACTTGACTGTTCCTAACTATACACAGAGTTCGAAGCGGTCCAGGATCTAGCCTTAGCTTTCCTCCGTTCTGGCGAAGATTTCAAATGAGGCTACATCAACGACCGAAACTGATCCTAACCACACACAACAACTGTTTCCGCCCATTATCCTATCAAACGTTTCCTATCAAAAACCAACTCATCTGCATTTATATATAGGTTAATCGGGTTGCTTTGAATTTTTAAATTACCAACTACGACTCGATAGAGCACATTTTCGAGATATCTATTCACCTAACTTTTTGAAATATTAAGTTTTATATATAAATTCACGTTTGGTTCTAATTCAGATAATTCAATTCGATAATTCGGCCCATACCCAAACAGTCTAATTTTTGCCGAAAGAATGCAATAATTTGCAGACCCGCTTATGAATGGGGAGGGGGTGTTCCACCCCCTACACCCCCTCTAGCGCCGCCCCTAATTGAACCTCATTACCATTACGAAATCGGTTTTGTTAAGAAGGGTCCTTGATTTGGCATAATGTTTCTCATTTGATTGGTATACCATTTAAAAAAGTTCTGCAGGATATATACGCCTTTTCGGCGTTAATGTAATCAACAAATTGATTCACTATATAATAACTCCTCTGCCTATTTGCCAGCTTGCAGTTGGGTTATCCTATTCGTTACAGTAATTTAATTAACTCACTGCCAATGTAATTATTAAAACCTGCAGATGTAACTTTAAGCAAGTTACAAAAAATCGTGACTCATGGTAACGGTTACAACTATATATAGTTACACTTTTTTATGTGCAACTTTTACCGGTAACTAGTTCCTTTTTTGAGCACATAACTGTAACTATTTCCAAAAAAATAAGTAACATTTACAGCACTGACGTATTCCCATTGGGACTAGGCGATGGTTTGACAATTGTGTTTGGCACATTTCGCAAGACGGCATCTCGAACACCGAGTAGAAGAGGGGTGCGGATTATTGATCTTAGAGAGCCGACTAGGTAAACAATATTTTCTTAAAATACCTTGGCACCATAAGTCTGAAAACACTGATTCACTTTAATTGCGCGGCAGCTTTGCGGTTGATCGCTTGACCATGCAGGATATAATACCTACTGTAATACCTAAACAGACACGATAATTAATAAATGCTGTGCCGCTATTTTTGTACGAGTGGACTAAACATTATAAAAGACCGGTTGTTGAATTGCATTTCCATCAGAATTTGTTTGCTGCTTAAACTGTGCACTTGTCCTGATTTTGAGACTGAAGACTCCGAAAACTACAAGTAAGTGCAATAATATGTGCAATATATATGCATGTATGTATACAGATTATACTTACAATTTTATTGGCGATGTTCTTGGTAATATGTTTTTCATTGGGATACGAGCTGGGTATCACCATGCAGCTGACGAGATTTTAGTTACGTTTTGTATTTGAATAATATTTACGATTATATATACCTGACCATTCGTACAATGCTTTGAACTTTCATCCGATCTAGATATGAAGCTATTGTTGGTTTGTTTGTGTGGAATAGTCCTATTGGTAAGTGACGTGGTGACATACATCACTCATGATTGTATTTTATATTTTATCAATCGGAATATACCTAGTAAACAACAAACTCATTCATCCAAATCACCTATTTCGATTAACCTATAAATATTCCCCTCCAACTCGACCACGCAGTCGCTCGTCACAGCTAACAAACTACCTGCAACTAACAAAGTAACAAACTGATGCGATTGATTTCATGGTTTTAACAATTTTTTCTAACATTGCAATTTAGGCGTTTTGCCAAGCGCAAGGTCTCGAATTCAAAAGAACTGCTGAGGTATGATATAAAAACAATAATATATTGCATGTTTCGTTTTATTTTTCTTAGCTCGTCCAATCAGATTCAGTTAGTTAAATATTTTAAAATGTCTCTTTTTCAAAAATATTTTCACAATGTCCTGCTGCGCATGATTATAGACCCTAAGTTCCATGAGGTTCACCTCTAGTTATTTTCTTTGCTGTGGGACTTGGAGGATGTCATAAGTCGATCACAATCATAAAGAACGGACAGGGACGTACCTAACGATATTTGGTTAGGGGGGGGGTTGAACTCAAAAACTTCGTTTTGGGAGCACTCTCAAAAAAATGTTTCAGGAAAGCAAAAAATTTTCCGGAAATTGTTAGCGGGGGAGGGGGGGGGGGGTCGTAGGGGTAGGTGGACGGCTTTTTGCCAAAAAAAACGTCGCAAAAGATTTTCCAATTATTTAACACGTTCCGCAATTTCAGCATTCCGGGCCCCTCTGAGGAAGTTGGGTACCCTTTCAGTGACGTTTCTTTGGGGCTGTTACATCCCCACACTCCACACTCCCAGTAGTTTCGGCCCTAAGAACGAAACCAATCTAGAAACAGTGTCATGAAAATAATATATATTTAGTTGCGCATATATGGCCAAATTTCTAATATTTTCTTTTTAATTTCTATTGTTTAAAAAGTAAATTTCCAGAATATCTTAAGGGTCGACCGAAAGAGTCAAGATTATAGACATATACTGTATAGACGGGTGTCTTTATTAATTATAATATGCAATAGTCATGAACACATTTTTATCAATTGCGTCCATGGGAAGCTGCAATCGACGCGGTATGTTTATTTCTTTTGTTTAAAATTTTTTAGACTGGAAATATTAACCGTTTTGAGACGACCGATTTGGAAAGCGATGATGAGACTCAGGTGAAACGATCGCCTTTTTGGTTTGGCAGACGGTGGAGATCGCGACGTGTGAGACCTACGAAGCGACCTATTCCGTGGTCTGCCGGTCCATGTAAGCCACCGTGACTATTTTATACTACGCCAAATTTTCTAGTTGTTCAAGAAAATTTAGATCATTGCCAGGTCTAACCAAACTAAGCACATCGTTTGAAAATAATTTATTTAATGAAGTGATGCATGGTGCCTAAAAGGCAAGAAAAAATAAAAGATTCTCATTCCTGCCAAGAAAATTTTTTATTAAGGAACAGTTCAGCCTTTTGATGGTTTTAAGGCGCATTATAACTCTTTTAACGAAAAAAACTACCTAGGAAAATCAACTAAGCTTAATTCAAAATCAGTGAACTCGATGTTTTTAACATTAGAAATGTTAAAAAATGTTAAAAACATTGAGTTCACTGATCTTGAATTATGCCAACCTCGTACGTACACAGAGTCTTTCCTTCTGACGAGGGCTGAAAAGACCCTGGTAGACGCTGGTCACGTGATCTGCCAAAATCTAGCAGACTTTTAATTAGCAATCCAAGATGAGGTCAATAAATATTTGAAATTTGGATGATTTTTATAGTTTAATTTATAATTTGCATTTTGCAGATTGTCGTAAAGGAATCCAAGATAGATAATGCAAAATCTGCTAGATTTTAGCAGTGACCAGCGTTTACCAGAGTATTTTTTCCCAAGAGGAAAGATCCTGGGGCGAGGTTGAAATTATGCTTATATAATTGACTTTCTTAATTAGTTTTTTCAATTAAAAACCATGATTCAAAAGGCTGAACTGTGACCTTAAGCGAACAATTTTGATACTGCGAAATGATTTTCTACCATTTTCAAATTGAGAATGAAATTTTTCTAGCAGTGGTGTAGTGGGTGGGGGGGGGGGGGGGCTCAGTGGGGCTGAGCCCCTCTTGTTAAAATTTCATGTTGACTTGGGGGGTTGAGCCCCCTTCCCCAATATTTTTTGCACGTTGCATAATCGTAACAACAAACGAGAATGTTCTCTAGAATTGCATTCATTTTCATTCATCATTTAACACGATAATATTTTGTGTAATCTTTACTCAGTAATGACGTTGTTCATGCGCCATAGCAAAAGTACCGATCCTGTTTTCTCTGATTTAAACTCTGTCCAGAGCATTTTCACTTGAGTGTTTTGAGTTTTGTTGATTTTATATAGAGGAGGCTACAGCAGCTATTAAAGAGCTTTCCCGAAGATATTTCAAAATATATGTTACAGTTAATAAATATTAGGCTGTTAGCAATTATGGAAGTCGCAATTGTTTTTAATGAGAATAATTTGGAATGTTTGTCCCACAATTACTAAAATAAACCCGAACAAAATTAGAATTTCCAAAATATCATATTGTCTCCCCCCCCCCTCGTTAATTCGTGACACTTTTGGAGAGCCCCCCTTGTTAATATTCCAGGACCATATCACTGTTTTCTAGCTAATTATAGAAGAAACTCTGAAAACTAAGTTTTTACTACTGGATGATTGCTTCATTATGCTAAAAGTTAGATTGTCTTCATCGTGTACAAGCCTGTATAAACATGGACAGAAAGATTGGAAGAAAAACTTAGAAACGTTTCCTGACCATCTCATGATTGACGATGGTGGAAATCAAAACGTTTAGTGATTTTAAAAATTATTTATTTATTTTCAAAATAACTATATCGATGCGCAAGGGCCAAACTTTGGTATTACAACTGCGTGGAGCTAGGGGTGTTTCTTTTGCAAAGGTGTAGCTCAATTCCATCGTTCAATATTTTCAAAATGCCTTTCGATGAGGGGATGGGAGTCTCCCAATCATAAAAGTTCCTGATAAAAATGTTTGTTCCTGTTTAAAAAACCTTTAAAAAACGTCATTCGTTTACTACAATATATTTTTTCTAACGCAAGAATAATGAAATCGTCCGGTTATTTCAACATTGGCTGAACGAAATCGTATTGATTTGACCCAAAATATGACGTCACCCCCTCCACACCCCTCCGGTAGTTTTGCCCCAGCCAACGTCATATCTATAGGTTTACCACAGAGGGGCAGGGGCAGAATATTGAAAACTACGAGAATATATATTCAGGTTATTTTACAACAATCCTCCATAAAAAGTCGAGCAAACTTTCAACTGCGCCCCCCCCCCCGCCCTCCCCCGGAAAGCATCAGCTCTGTACGCCAATGCTGGTATCTGCCAACGTTCTAAAAGTTACACCCTGATGACACTTTTTGTTACAAGTTGCCAACTGGTAGTTTCCTAAATCTTAAACTTTGGTAAACAAAACTGTATATTTTGCCACCTCTGATGTTGGTTTAATAGGAAAAAATTTGAGAATTTTAAAATTTTGCCCATTAAGGTAATTCCGCAGTAATTGTTCCCGAAATGAGAATGTGCTGAAACTTCCCAGGCATGGAGTTTATGATATACTTAAGTAAAATCACAAAAAAAGTCGGGGTCACCGAATTCGTTAAGAAGATATGACAATCACAATATACAACCTTTACCCAATATGGCGCCATCCTGACGCTCATTACTCACAACAGCCCGACATTTATTGACGTTTTTAGCGCGGATTTTGCTTTAGTAAACCTATCTTGTAATTATTTTTGAAAAATTATTGTGTTTTGAGCAAAATGAAACTACTAACGTGTACAATTCTGATCCACAAATGTCTTTTCCACATTTCTTTACATATCTTTCTTTGAGAACATGCATTGATAAAGCATTTTTTTTCAAGATCCAGAAATGATTTTTCTTTTAATTTCGGATATGAAATGTAAAATGCATTAAAGAAATAAATTATCAGTTAAAAAACGGGGGTCACCGATCTTTTTAGGGAATTGTGGCATTAAAACGTGAAATACAAGTAAATAAATATACTACAGACACAGGGAACCCTAGCTACACTTTTGTATGCCTTTTTTGAAAACATTGATTTTAACGTAATTCTTTGCACGAATGTAACTAAATATGTTTTGAAGTAACATAAAATTGTCATAAAATGATATTTTTTAAGGGTACGTATAATGGATGAAATTATAAGTTATAAGATGTGCGCAGTAAACATGTGCAATGCAAAACTGTGTTGACAAAAATGCAAAGTTTTCAGCTATGTAAAGTCAAAATCAGTGTTGCCAGCATATATAGTCTTGTTCATTAATGCATACAGGTATGCTCTAATGCCAGTTGTCAGCTTGTAACAGAAAATGAGATAAACAAAATTTCAATTGGTGCACATTTTTAATTCATTACAAGTTTTGGCCGGCCATCTACCACGTTGACTCTGCAACTATATAAAACTAAAAACTTTTTTATTTCTGTTTAGGCCAAAGTGGAAACGTCAAATCAAAATATTGCCAAAACGCTGCAAAGAACTGTTTTGGAACAGGCCAGGTTACAAACGTTCAATTTATCCGTTCATTTAAGACAGTACCAAAGGTGATGATTGGTTTCACCCTTGTCGACACAAACAAAGATCAGAATGTGCGTGTTCGTGCTTCAGTTGAAGGCGTAACCCAGAATGGATTCAACATTAGATTCAATCCATGGGATAAATCTATCACTTATCAACTTGGTGTCAATTGGATGGCATGTCCATGAACATGAGCAGGAACAACACGTGAACGATAATTAAACCTCAATCCTATTCAGCACCACTTTAATTAATAATGTATTGTTGTATTTAGAGCATGTAAATTTGAAACTTTGCAGTTGTAATTTGCAGTTGCAAGTTGTAGTTTGAAACTTTGATCACGAATACACTTGTTCACGCGACATTCGATGTTACAGAGTTATTTTGTTTTGTTTTGTTTTGCAGTATTAAAAAACCATCGCCTCACAGTGGAACGGCGGTCAATGTCGAAAAGACCTGTGCCTCCCAAAAAAATCCTGAATAGGCCGTTTGCTGTGGCCTTGAAAAGTGCCTAAAAAACGATTTCCGTAGTGCATGTCTTGGAACTGAAATATTTTTACGGGAATTAACACTGTCGAACACGCTGAGTTCAAATCCGAAAAGTTCCCGCTCCGTACACCTTGCGTTTTCTCACAAACTGCTATTTTATTTTCACTAATTTCACGACTTTTTCTTTGTTCAACGACACGGATGGATGATGACACACGAATGCATAACTCAAAATGACTCATTCCTAAGAACCAGTCTATACATTTGACAAAAGACCGTTTTGCTTGGATCATTTTGAGTTATGTAATTTTAAGCGCGTTGGACGTAAACAGCAAATCTTGTCTACAACTTTGGGAAGGTGCCGGTACCGCTTTCTAAAATTCTCAGTTTTGGCTCTATCTCTATAAAATCACAAGGACGTTAATGTTAAGTCTTTGGGCTATGTCGCTGGGCTAAGAAAGAATTCCTTGGCATGCGATCAAAATTTTTATACAGCGATGTAAAACGGTAATCTTATGTAATGGGTCAGCATTCAAATTTTCAACACTGTTTCTGAGACTTAATTCGGGAGGTTGGTGTTATTATGCGCGATAAGTAAATATTATCGGGAAAAGGGCTTCCATATACGTTGAAATCACCAAATACACAGCTCATGGACACATTTCTCTACTTCGTCGTAAGTTTACAGAGCAGATTTTATACTTTCGTACTGTTCTTTTTCTTTAAGGTGTACATTTATTCTTCCAGTTTAAGGTTTATTTATGATTGATCCTGTCGTATAAGTCTTCAACCAGCAACCCATCGACATGAATATTTCATGTTAGCGTTGTCTTTGCCGTTACGTTGGCTTTGCGTTACTGTTGTTTTAAATACCATGATTGCGCTAAACGAGCTATTTATCAGGCCACTGACATAGCCAAACGACTTAGCATTAACGTTCTTGTGATTTTATAGAGATATCGCTAGAACTGTGTATTAGTCTAGGACCTGTATATGAGTTTGTATGCATTTCATTTAGGACAGATAATCTCAACTGTTTTAGGGCAAGTTGACCATGATGGTCAACATGGTAACGCTGCCCGAACCCCAATCCGGGACGAAACGTCCGAAACTGACCACACCCAAAAACGACGCTTTCGCCATACTGCTATCTACCAAACCATAAAAGCTTTGGCTATTCTGAGGTGCTTATATGGTTCAGAGATGGTACCTTTGGGGGTGGTCATTGGTAAGTGTGAAATGCCTAGCACTAATATTTCACAAGAAAATGGCCATGCAATAATCGATCATAGTTAAACGTCAATTTGTGGCTTGCAAATTCAGATAAACAGCAGTGGACTTACATTACCTTTTCCCCTAAATCGTTTTGATAGAAATATAAATGGTACTTATTTAAATATATTATCACTGGTTTGGAGTAAAATAGTTAATATTTTCTGACCAAAATAATAATTCGAAATGTGCCTACCTCCTGCAAATCGACGTATTTAGCCAAGTTCTCCACTTTACTCCGCTGTTTATCGGCGATCTCGTCGACATCCTACAAAAAATGTAAATCATCTCAGATATAATGGCATCATGAACATTTTAAACAAGTTTCAACTTGGCTTCAAGTAGATCGTACCTGTTTAACCATCGACAAGGTAAATTCACAACTTTGTCCAAATTCGGCGCCATTTTGTCATCCCATATCGCTTGTTAACAATTCAGCCTTGTTACTCTTCCATCCAAGCCATTTCCATTCCACTAATAATAAATGTAACCCTTTATAACAGGAGGAAACTAAAAAATCTAAACAAAATATAAGAAATACGCCATTTTATCACCATGTAAAATTTTGCTCACGAGTCTTTCAAAACATTCCGTACAAATCTCGCGTGGTTTAGCAACAGGGACGTGACAGGGGGGTAGAGACTTGAAAAATGAAAGGAAAGCCCACACAGTATGGTAAAACCAACAATCAACATTTAATTTGTATGACTTTTTCATATTAATAAATAATAAATGTATATATTTGTCACTACAAGAAATAAAACAAACATTTGTATGATTGTATTTAGCTTTTAGTCTATTTCACGCAGCCTTCTTCTATCTTCGTGAAATAATTCACCCCCTCCTGTCACGTCCCTGTTACTTTGTCACGCGATATTTGTATGGAATGTTTTGAAAGACTCGTGAGCGAAATTTTACAGGGTGATAAAATGGCGAATTTTTTATGTTTTGTTTAGATTTATTAGTTTCCTCCTGTTATAAAGGGTTAAATTTATTATTAGTGGAATGGAAATGGCTTGGATGGAAGAGTAACAAGGCTGAATTGTTAACAAGCGACATGGGATGACAAAATGGCGCCGAATTTGGACAAAGTTGTGGATTTACCTTGTCGATGGTTAAACAGGTATGATCTACTTGAAACCAAGTTGAAACTTGTTTAAAATGTTCTTGATACCATTATGTCTGAGATGAT